CAAACCCCGCCCCCACCACCCCCCCCCCTTCCAGTCCTTACTCTCCACGAGACGACAAACCCCCCCCCCCTTCCACGTACCGCTTCAAGACGAAGCGTCTCGCGGCTCTGCAGACAAGAGTTCCTTGCAAAGGCGGGAAAGGCGCAGTTTGGGGAAGGGGAGGGGCATCGGAGCTCAGTCACTTTGGCTCAAGTAGTGGCCTGGCCCCGGACTTCGGCAAGGGCTGGTTGGCTTTGGGTAACTCGGTGGCTTCTCCGAGAGTTAGGAAAACAACCAGCCCAAGCTCGTTCTCCCTGCCCCCCCCCCCTTTCCGATGCATGGGAGCAGCGCCGTTGCAAAGCTAAAGAAAACAAGCAACCGCAAGTGACGCGCGCCTCCCTTCCTCGGCTTGAGAGAAAGTAGTTGCTCCCCCCCCCCTCCGGGCGGGCCGTTTTTGAGGAAAGCCGGCTTGCTAGAGATGCAGGAGGAAGCCCCATGGCTGGGGGCGCCGAGGGTTTCAAGCAGCCCAAAGGCTGCTGCAGTGGTGGGGAAGGGGGTGGCCAACCGGGACGCCTCTCGGCTCTTCTCGCACTCAGAATGAGCGTTCGCCCTCTTTGCCCAGGTCGAAGGAGGGTTTCCAGTCAGGTGCATTGAGGCGGCTCGCCATGTCAAGGTCCGGGGACAGGACGTCTACTTTCGACCCCAGCCATAGCGACAACCTGCTTCACGGCCTCAACCTGCTGTGGAGGAAGCAGCTCTTCTGCGACGTGACCCTGACGGCCCAAGGCCAGCAGTTCCACTGCCACAAGGCCGTGCTGGCCTCGTGCTCGCAGTACTTCCGATCGCTCTTCTCCAGCACCGCCGGCGGGGGCGGCGGGAGCGGCCACCACCACCACACCCTCGGACCTGGCGCTCCGGACGGCCTGCCCCCCAAAGAGCAGCCGCCGCCGCCGCAGCAGCAGGAGGAGCCCGGCACGCCCTCCTCCTCCCCGGAGGACAAGCTGCTGGCCAGCCCCAGGGCCATCAACAACTTGGTGCTTCAGGGCTGCTCGTCCATCGGGCTGCGCCTGGTGCTCGAGTACCTGTACACGGCCAACGTGACCCTGTCCCTGGACACGGTGGAGGAGGTGCTGTCGGTCAGCAAGATCCTGCACATCCCGCAGGTCACCAAGCTGTGCGTGCAGTTCCTCAACGACCAGATCTCGGTGCAGAACTACAAGCAAGTGTGCAAGATCGCCGCCTTGCACGGACTCGAGGAGACCAAGAAACTGGCCAACAAGTACCTGGTGGAGGACGTGCTGCTGCTCAACTTCGAGGAGATGCGCGCCCTCCTCGACTCGCTACCACCCCCGGTGGAGTCGGAGCTGGCGCTCTTCCAGATGTCCGTGCTGTGGCTGGAGCACGACCGCGAGACCCGCATGCAGTATGCCCCGGACCTCATGAAGCGCCTCCGCTTCGCTCTCATCCCGGCTCCGGAGCTCGTCGAGCGGGTCCAGTCGGTGGATTTCATGCGTACCGACCCGGTCTGCCAGAAGCTGCTGCTGGACGCCATGAACTACCACCTGATGCCCTTCAGGCAGCACTGCAGGCAGAGCCTGGCCAGCAGGTAAGAGAAGGGGACGGGGAGGGAGTTCATCCAGAAACCCTGTATTTTGTAGTGGGTTTGTTGCATGTGTACACGGCAGTGTGAGGTTCAAAAGTTGCTAAACAACATCTAGCAACAAAACGGGGGGAGGGGGGAAGAGTGCCTGCCAGGGACCTGCGAACAGAGTTAAGGGGAGGGGTGAACACACCCTCTCATAGGCACTCAAGAAAACATAGAGAACCCGAAAAATTACAGTCGTTCCGAAAACCGAAGAGAGATATTGTTAATTTAAAGAGCCTATCATGGTTTGGGTGGCCCTTTGTACTGTATCAATACTAATTATAGAAAGTTCCTATAGGTCACCTTTGTTGTTGTAGCAGCTGGGTATCCCTGTTGTTAATTCAGTAGAGTTATGACATGAAAACAGTGAAATCCCAGACAGCAAGGACAGTTTATTCAGCTGGCTTCTTCTGACCAGACAGCCAAAATATAAGAACTCTTACCATTCCTGCCCCCTTCTCTCAGGGAGCCAAGGGGTTTTGATGCAACTTGAAGGTGATAGCTAGGCTTTTGAAAAAAGCAAAATTTGTATTTTAAAAATTGACTAATTACAAGAGTGCAGTTGAAGGGAAAATGAACTGAATGAAAAGATGGAAAAGAGAAAAGTCCTGCTGTCTACTACAAAACTAAAGAGAATGAAAACTCCTAACAGCTTCTGGTGTTCTTAGGGTCCCATATTAGTAGATGACAGTGTTATGCTGCCCATTCACGGAAGTTGTTTTAGAGGTGCTGAGTACCACAAGCAAAGGTAATGACAAGGGAAGAATGTGTTGGACAATTTCGTAGATGACTCTTAAAATACAATATGGGAGGAAAATTGGATGGGCATAGGGCCATGGCTTAGTTTTACATTCCATTAGAAGCTTCTTGGGCCCTTTCTTCAGGGAGATGGCAACTTGCCAGATTCTTGTCTTTCTGCTGGGACTTTCACAGTGGTTTATTACATATAATTCTGCCCCCCATTCTTTAATGCTATTTAATTTTTATATTTAACAGGAAGAAGTACCATTTAAGAGGAGCTATTACTTGTTATTTTACAAATTTTATTAAATGATGCAAACCCAGAGCAGGTTTTATATCTATGATGGCTACATTTTCATCTGTCTTGCAAATTACTTTATATGGGTACTAGTGTTGCACATATTGAGATAATGCAGTGGTTATATAGGGACATTGTGATGTCATACTGTTCATGTCTATGACGTCACATTTTTCTCTTCTTGTGTAAGTGTAACAGTGTTGAAGACAGACAATGTTAAATTAATGTCAAGAATACATGTTTTTAAATAGCTAGTTTAAAGAATAAATTTAAAAAGCCACTGGAAGTATTCAGTAGCATCCAGTCATTACATACCACTTCTTCTGAGGAATGTATTAATATTAGGCAAACATGGTATTTGAAAGACTTTATACGTCTCAGAACATTTGTTTTGCCTTTTCACTGTGTGATTTAAAATGAGTTGTTGGTAATACAGCATTAGTAGGGAAGGCTGTTCTAAGATTCGTAGTGTTTTCAATAGTACGGTGTGGCATTCCTCTGGGCAGAAGACTTCACAAACATTCTATGTGGAATATGTATTTCGAGGATTTAACTTTTAGTGGATGACACCTGAAGTGACTAGAGAAGTAGTTTGATGAGATAGCGAGCATCACATCTTAGTGTTCCTCGGTGCTAAACAGTGGAATATAGTGCAGTAGGAGCAATTGGAAGTAAGTTTGGGGTCTTAGCAGTAATATGTCTAGCAATTGTCCCTAGGATATTCAGAATGTTTTGGCTCCCAGAGCATTCTTTAACCAGAATTCTGGACAGCACCTGGGTCACAATGGGGGCTCATGTTGTGGTGGATTGCTGAGATTTTTGGTTCAGTGCAGATACCTTCCAGCTTCACTGGGCCATATCATTTGAAGGATATGTAGTGGTGCTCTGACCACTGAATGTTTACAGGTGTCAGGGATGCTGTTATTTCTGCTGCTGGAAGCTATCTTCTTCCTATAAGTGAAAAACACTGACAGACATAAACCAGTATTTTTCTGCAACCATTTGGCAACTATGTAGCTGTATCAGAGCTATGTATTTTTCATTTTCCCCCATTTATAATATGCCCAGATGTGTTAACATTCTAAAATCTCCCTGAGGCTTCTGTGACAAGGGGGACTGTAAATGAATAAATAAATGAGAAGCTCTCTGCCCTTTTCTTAATTTCATAATATATTTGGGTAAACGGTATTTATGTTTTCTGTTAATATAACCAAAAGAAAGATCTGTGTCTGTCTTCTTGCATATATAAATGTTTCAGGGATATATTCAGAATATTACAAGAAGTTAGCCTGTGTTATGTTAAAACTTTCATGCTGTTTTCAGAATTGATAACAGTCATGAACAATTTACTGTTGGATCTTGAAGTCTGACAATCATATAATTGTATGCTATGTTAGTTCATATGTGTGTGTGTATTATTAAAAAGTTACTTTGGGTTCTTATTTAGGAAGAACAGTGAAATAATTTTTTTTTGAAATAATTATCCCTGACTAACGTTAAATAAAAATAAAGAGATTCTTTTAAAAGATAAATTAATGGTATTTGGAATTGTGGATTTGGGGGGAAATGAAATCATGGAAGTAAAGTAAAGTGAGAGATAGAAATTAATACAGAGAATGGTTTCCAGACATCATTACTGGTTTCCAGGGAGCAATAATGGCATAGGTAAATTAGAACGACATGAAACGTTTTATGGAAGGATGTTGATTAAGGGTACTTATGAACATTGCTCTTTTTAAAAGAGATCTGTTGCTGGGTAGTTTCTCTTGCTGAGAGGTAAACAGCAAAGTTGTGTAGACATCTGCTTGGCACTCCATAATGAAGAAACATGGAATTAACACACCTGCTCTTAAAGACTGATTAACATCCTGCTGCAGACTCCCATTTACTTTAATGGGGGCTGTATCAGGCCTTTAGCATCATTTGATAACTGTCTTCCTTATTTGCTTCAAATAACACTTTTGTTCCTAATGCACTACTTAAAACTATAGCACACAGATGCTTTGGGATTTGCCCTATTTACAGGCTTTAAACTCCCACTGGAGAAATTGTAAATATCTAAAAACTTGAACTCTGGTTCCAAAGTAATTGTGTGGAAATGATAACTTTACGTGTGTCCTGTAAAATAGCCCCAAACTGTGCTAACATTCTTGTCACCATTGCAAGGACATGTATATGAAGCGGAGTTAAATTTCATTTTGATATGCAACTAAAATGTTCAAGTACATTATAAAGATGATACCACATGAATTCAGTAAACTCAGGTGGAATAGAATATCCTCTATCATACTAATTAAATGTGCATATGTGATCTCCGAAGTTATTTGAAAGCAAGAAATGTAGAAACCACAAACATTTTGCAGATATTTTTCTAGTAAAAAGAAATTGAAAGATTTCTGCCCAATTCCGAACATGTTTATTTCGAAAGAAGGTCCACTAACTGCCAACAAATACTAGCTAGGTGCCCTCTAATATATGGGGTTCCACAGGGGGCAGTCCTCTCCTCAATATTATTTCACATCTGTATGCATCCCCCTCGCCCAGCTCCTGCAGAGTTTTGGACTGGGTTGTCACCAGTACGCTGATGACACCCAGCTATATCTGCTACTTAATGGCTGCCTGGATGCCGCCCAGCACCATTTGGCTGCGGGTTTGGAGGCTGTGGTGGGATGGTTAAAGAAGAGCAAAATTCGATAAAGAGGGAGGTTCTGTGGCTGGGGGGGGGCTCCTCAGGATTGGGGCATAGACTTCACACTCTTGATGGTACGCCACTAGTGCTACTGCAATCCGTCAGGAGTTTGGGTGTGATCCTGGAGGCCTCCTTAACTGTGGAGGCCCAGGTCACGAATATTGCCAGGCTGGCATTCTTCCATCTATGCCAAGCTCGGCAATTAGCCCCTTTCCTGTTGCATCCTGATCTAGCCACTGTAATCCATGCAACGGTCACTTCCAGGCTAGACTACTGTAACTCAATGTATCGAAACTAATCTGGAAGCTCCAGCTGGTCCAGAATGTGGTAGCACGAGTCCTGATAGGAACGCCACAGATGGCGCATGTACAACTTGTGCTGCGCCAGATACACTGGCTCCCAGTGGAGTACCGAGTCAGGTTCAAGGTTTTGGTATTGACCTTCAAGGCCTTGAGTGGTCTGGGACCTGTGTATCTTCAGGACCGACTTCTCTGGTATGTCTTCAGGAGAGCATTACGCTCTGCAGAGAACAATCTAGTGGTGATCTCTGGCAACAAAGGTATCCTGGTGGAACTCTCTGCCAAATACCATCAGAGCCCTGCAGGACTTAATGCAATTCTGCAGGGCCTGTAAGGCAAAGATGTTCCATCAGGCCTTTGGTTGAGGACAGCAGTGGTTTCCATCATGGCTGGCACCCTCCTCTTTCTCTTCACTGCTTCCTTTTGGCCCCCTCTTCACCCTGCCCACAAGACGGCAACACAGTCTGGAGTGGGTTTATGAAAAAAAAAATCACAGATCCCATCTGAAAGTATTAATTGATTGTTGTTTTATTGATTTTAACAGTGTTTTTAACTTTGTTGTACATCACCAAGAGCCCTGTGTATACAGGGATTGGGCAATTTATAAATCCAAAAATATAAATAAATAAAATACTTGTTAGAAATTGCAGCTTAAAATAAAATACTGTAAAGGGCCAGGGCTGCTGAGAGCCACCATGTGCCCCTGGACAAAGATTCTATCTGCCCACCAATACAACCCTGATCCAAACCAAATATAACAAAACAAATCACTTGGTTGGCTGTTACCATGCATCTGTAAAAATAAAAGAATCAGCATGTCCATCTGTCTACTTATGGTGGGCATAACACATCAGCAAATAGAATGATGACTCTCAAAATTGGCCACCAGCTTCAGGATTATTGTGAGAGTTCCAAGGCCAAAAATGAAAGGAAT